GATATATGAGGGTGAGATGTAATGCATTTACGAATTGGGTTATGCACCATTCAGGTCGAGTCGAGTCGACATGACCTAATTCACTAAAAACCTAAAAAAATAAATTTATTTTTTATTTTTTGTGAAAATTGTTGTTCGCACCTATTAAAGCCTTTGCGAAACTATCCCTAACAGACTCATTACATTACATTGAAAAAAAAAACCCTTGTTTCTCTATTCTGCACTGTTCTCTTCTCCTCTTCTTTACTTTTCTTTTATTTTAGTGCTTTTCACTTCAGATTTTTTATAGTCCCTTCATTTATTTGTTACAGTCCCTCAAGTTATTACTTATTCCCACATTCTATCCGGACCTCTTCAACAATTCCTACTTCTTATTTTATATTTGTCTTTTTCTAAATATTTTTGTTTGCTGTTTGCTGGAGACTAATAGGTCCTACCAAAAAAATAAAAGAGAGTGATATCACGTGGAAACATTGTGAAAGTGTCCCCTCACATAGGCTATTAGTAAAATACAAGTATTGTTCTCATACTTATTGGGGTGGAATTACAAGGATGAAACATCATTTAGCTGGAACAAGGAAAAATGTAAGTATATGTCCAAGTGCTACAGATGAGGTAAAGGACATCAAACTATTGAAAGAGAAAGAAAAGAAAAAATGTGAAAATAGCTTGGAGTATTTTGAAGAAGTTGTTACCTGAGATGCAAGTGGTTAAAAGGAAATAATGAATTTTTTTTGTTAGCAAAGAAAAGGAAGGAACATTAAAGGCTCTAAAGCAAACAACAATGAATACAATATTCAAAGATAGAGATGTTGTCATTCAAGAAATTTGCAAATGCGTATATGCTAATGCCTTACCATTTAATTTGGTAAAAAGTCCTCATTTTATTCAAATGTTGAAAGCTTGTTAGAGAATTTGGTAAAGGTTTAAAACCTCCTACTTATCATGAAGTGAGAGTATCTTTTTTGAAAAAAGCAATTGATAGCATCCATGAAATTTTGGAGAAATACAAGAGTGAATAGGAGAAGTGGGGTTGCACTTTAATGTGTGATGGATGGACAAATGGAAAAGGAAGATCTTTTACTAATTTTCTTATTAACAGTCCAAATGAGACTATTTTCTTAAAATCGGTTGATACTAGTAATGTTATCAAGGATGTCAAACAAATGTTTGAATTATTGGATGGCATGATAGAAGAAATTGGGGAGGATAATGTCGCGCAAGTTGTGACAAATTGTGCTTCTAACCTTGTGGTAGCTGGAAAAATGCTAGAGGAGAAGAGGACAAAATTGTTTTGGTCTCCTTGTGCAACTCATTGTTTAGATTTAGTGCTTGAAGATATTGGACAACTTCCAGTATTCTTTAACATTATTTCAAATGCAAAGAAAATTACAACTTACATATATAGGCATACATGGTTCCTTAACTTATATAGACAACATTCTAAAGGAAGAGAATTAGCAAGACCAGTTGTAACAAGGTTTGCAACTTCTTATCTTACACTAAATTGCATTATACAATAAAAGAATGCTCTTCGATCTATGCTTGCTTCAGAAGAATGGCCTAAAAGTTCTTATGCTAGTAAAAGTGAAGCTAAGCAAGTCATGAATTTAGTTTTGAGTGATTCTAGATTTAGGAAATCCATTTAGTATTGCTTAAAGTGTGTGATTCCTCTTGTAAAAGTATTAAGGTGTGTAGATGGTGATTAAAAACCAGTCATACCATATATTTATGAAGTAATGGATAGAGCTAAAGAGCAAATTGCTAAAAACTTTCAAAATCAAGAGTCAAAATACAAAAAGGTGTAGAAGATTATTGATACTAGGTGAAATTTACAGCTACATAAGCCTCTTTATGCAACTGCCTATTATCTCAATCTAGGTAAATAAAGTCATCATTAATCTTTTCATGCTTTTACACTTTTTTAAAGATTGGGTAACTTAGGTTGTATGTCTTATGTCTTCTTTAATTAGGTTTCACTATGACAAAAAATTCAATTTGATAGTGAGGTTTTATTTGGCTTGTATGAAACTATTGAAAGAATGGTTCCAAATAGAAAGACAAGATTTTCTATTGATCAACAACTTGAAAAATTCAAGACTGCTGAGGAACTTTTTGGAATGAACATGGCAAAAGATACTAGAGACAAGAAGCAGTTTTAAATTGGTTTTTTCATATTTTAAAGTTCTTTTTATGACATACATTTTATTTTTGTTTTAATAGGACTTCAGTGATAAAGTTATGGTGGAGAGTTCAAAGAGCTAACAAAAGTAGCTATAAGAATTTTAAGTCTCACATGTAGTGCTACAAGTTGTAAAAGAAACTAGAGTACATTTGATCAAGTGCATACTAAGAGAAGAAATTGCTTGGAGCAACAAAGACTAAATGCACTTGTTTTTGTCAAGTACAATATTCAACTTGATATGAGACAAAAGGCTAAAGAAGAGAAAGGAGAAACTTATGATCTTATATGCTTGTCTGATATTGAATCAGACGATGAGTGGATTACTGGAAAAGAAGACCCTTGCTTACAAATTGATGCTTCTCGGATACATGAGTGTTTCACTTTTGATGAAGGAGCTTCAAGCAAGAAAAGGAAGAGGTATTTGTTTAATGAAAAAATAGTATAATTATAGGTCCAATTGATTCTTAATGCTTTTATTCTATTTTATAGGCCAAGAAACTTAAATGCTAAGGTCTATAAGAAAGAAAAATTTATAATTGAATATGAGAGTCAAATTGAAGAGAATCAAGAAATATTTGAAGATGGAGAGAAAGGGGAAAAAAAAAGAACAAGAAAAGCCTTTACCATTAGAAAATGAGGATGAACTAAGTGATATTGATCTTGGAAAGAATGACTAAATTATGCATTTGAAATTTAGACCTATTGAATATGTTTAGAGCCTAGAACTAAAAAATAGTAACTTGTTATTAGTTACTATTATTTTTTGAAAGTATATATTACTAATTTATGCAATCACAATCTTTTTTTTTTTTTGTCATTGTAACTGATTTGAAAGTATATATATATATATATATATATATATATATGATTTATAGTTACAACTTTTGATATCATTGTAATTGATTAATTATATTATATTATATTTTATTAATTATACAATGAAGTATTTGATTATAAAATGTCCATATATGAATGTATTTAATTTTTCTTTACGATTCGATTCATATTCACAAAATAGGATTTTAAAATAGAATTTCTTATTCACGATTCGAATCTCCATTTAATTAGCTTTCAACAATTTCCAAGAATTACAGAGCAAATTCCTCAAAATGCACAAGCACTTAGACATAATCCTCAAAATTCCTCGTAATCTTCCTCATCCCATGGTTTTCAAGTTGATCAGAACCTGATATATTTAGATGCAGGAAATTCCATAGCAATTCCATTCAATGAAATAAGTAAATCCTTTAGAGGTGATTGAGTGACACTAATTAACAAAATCAAATTAACTTATTTCATGGAAAATCTGTAAATTTCAGCCAGAAAAACAAATTTCAGTTGTATATTGCTGTCCTATAGGATCCATACATTTTAAGTTTTACCTTGAAAGCTTGGAAAAGTGCTTTAGATTTGGAATATATATGTTCAAATAATTGGAGTTTATTTTTCTTCGAATACAAACTAAGCAACGGAGATCAACACAAAAATCAGCACAATTAGTTTCGGCATTTATGTACGGAATTGCAATAATTTTTTGTCTTAATCCATAATTCTGGCAAAGACTATGATACCCAATTACACACATAAAGATGGACATGTATACAAATCCTACAAGGAAAGAAGCTGTTGCTAGAATTGAACCATGCAAGCTGCACAAGTTTCTGCACAAGAATTCAACTGGTTCCAATTTAAATCCTTTTGTTTCCAATAAATAGATACAGCTACCTGAGCAGTTTGATAACAGGAAAATAGCCACATGACATGTACATACACATCTTAGTGGATGGGTATGATACAGCCTTGATCCAAATGATTAAACTAGACAAACTTTATTTTGACACAATTGAATCAAGGAATTGACATTTCAACCTATATTTGTCAATTTGTGCATGAACTTTCTCTCTCTCTCAATATCGCAGCAGTAGTAGTAAAGAAAATGTGCCTTCACGATAATGCATGAGCCTGGCAACATGTTTCCTATGAAGAATTTGTAATGTAAAGCTTTCAAATAATAGTGTGGACTTTTAATTTGATGGAAAAAATAAAATGCATGACTTACCAATATAAAGAAAGCAGTAGAGAGGAAAGCCTTGAGTACAAAAAGGCGTAACGCTCAAAGCCACAATAGTTACTGAAATCCTTGCTATTGGTCTTGGCACAGAATTCTAGTATCAAGGAAGAAAAGAAAAGAGAAAGATGAAAAACAAGGAAGAAGGTATTCTATGATTTGTAGTAAATGTGAAGATAATATCTAGAATAAATCAAAAATCAAAATTTAAAGATTAAAAGGGAAGTTCTGACTTACAGGAACCAGATTAGTTCCTGCCTCAATTCCATGCCTACCAGCTTTCCATGCATTTTGCAGAACTATCACATAATCACAGTAATAGTTGAAGGAGAAATCGTTAGGCACTTAGGCTCTGTGGAGAAGCAAGAAAGCTTGCAAAAGAAACTGGGCAAAATAAAATGGCCAGGGTTGACATGATACAGAATAGCTAGGCAAAAATTAAATGGTCCCATTTCTGAAGGGCATATTGACACAAATACAAGATACATTCAATATGCAACAATTCTTAATCAATTAGTGTTTTCAATTCAATAAAGGAAGGCCCATCAAGAGTGCATATACTTAAGACTAATTACCCCTCATGATATTACTAATGGCATTGCATCATGTACCAAGTTTAATCAAATACAGCCACCATCAGGAAAGGATCACATCATCCAGGTAGTGGCATCTACACAGGAAAACTTTGTGAAAATCCTAGGAATAAAAAAGACCCAATAGTTTGATTAAACATTTTGAATTCAAAGTTCAAAATGGGGTAACACTTCCACTTCTTGTTTCTGTAGGACTATATAATGCAGACCTGTTCCTTGGTCTATTCTCCTCCAATTGCCTCACAACTTCATCCATGCTTGGTCTAACAGATGCCACTGGTGCACAGCACCCCATTGCAAGCTTCAGTGCCTGCACCAACCCATCTTCCATAGGACTTCTTATCCCTTTCAACAGTTCCACATCAAATACTTCCATTGTTGTCTCCTCCAAAACTGCCACCTTCACCATTGAAGGCAAATCCACAAACTCGCCACTCCTTCCATTCTTCCCGGGTTTCTTTCCAATCAAGATTTCCAAAAGCAATATACCAAATGCATAAACATCGGTCCTGGAGTTGCATTTCTTCATTCTTTGCAGCTCTGGAGCCTTGTAGCCATCGGTCTTGGCAAGTGCCACCATTTCGTCGGCTATGGATGGAATCATCAGCTTGTCGAGGCCAAAATCAGTGAGCCTCGCCACAAAGAAGTCATCCACAAGCACATTCTTGGATCTTACATTTGCATGTGTAACTGGAACATCAAGTCCTGTGTGAAGATAAGCAAGTCCTCTCGCTATACCCAATGCAATCTTGTGTCGCCTAGCCCAGTTCAGCACTGGTTTTCCTGCTTTAGGTTCTGTGGAAAATGAAAAGCACAACATAGTCAATGCCATGCAACAGTGTTACTTCTCAATTCGTTAGAGCCAAACAGCTGTTCAAGTTCACTTGTTTAGGTTTCCATTGTTATTTAAGTTCTGGTCTGATCTACAAGAAAATTAAACACATTACAACAGGATAATAATCTTCAATTGTGACACAACAGTGACCTTACTGATTGGACTCATAAATGTTCATAGTTATTGCTTTTGGATCATCAGTTTTCTCTTCAGCTTCTTATATGAGATATCACGATTCATTAGGGATCTGAACAGCAAGAAGAATTGTTTTCTCCTTAGGCTCAAAATTCTTCAGCACTTTGACTCCAGTTTTTAAATAGTTTAAAATTTTATAGGAGCTTTCAGTTTAAAGAAAGCTTAATCAAACTAGACAATAGCACAGTACAGTTTTATAACAGAGAGTTTGATCAATAATTTAAATGAAAGTGAAGTGACGGTGCAGATTGAATTGCCATCTATCCAAGTATGACTGAAATATAAAAACAAACAAAGGAAATGCATTAGGGGAGGATCAGGTAGAAAACTAACCATGTAAAAGATCATGAAGGGATCTGAGAGGCAAATACTCATAAATAAGGAGCTTTTCCCCTCTCTTTCCCTGATAGAAAGCTCTCAAAGGAATCAAATTCTCATGGCGAATTTTTCCCAATTGCTTTATAACTGACAAGCATGAAGCCTTATCTTTGCAGCTGCCTTCTCTCAATAGCCTCAAAGCAATTGTGCCTCCATCAGCAAGCTTTGCCTTATAAGCTGTACCATAACATGTCTTCTCCAAAACTTGACCAGTTGCGTTCAACACATCATCTAATGTCAAATTGTCACCACCAGGAAACAACATAAGCTTCCCTTCACCAGCTCCACCAACAGCATTACTACCATTTTCCTCATCTTCCTCCTCATCATTCAACTCATCTTCACTCTCTCCACATCCCTTCCTCTTCTTGTTCTGCATATACCCAATCAACAAAGAAGCCAAAACCACAGCTCCTGTCATAAGACTAATAACAATACCAGCAACAGCACCAGAACTCAGAGTAGAGCTCCTAGTACAGCTTCCCAAAGGTGGTCCACACAAGCCAGGGCTATTCCCTTCAAAAGCATCCACACCAAACTTGGATTCTCCAAAGAAAGGCAAAACCCCACTAAAGTTATTGTGGGAAAGATTCAATTTTTCAAGCCTTAACTCAGTTAAGCCTTGAGGAATTGTACCCATAAACATGTTGTTCCCCAAGTCAAGCTCTTTTAGCCCACCAAACTTTGTAATGAACTCAGGAAAACTCCCAGAAAACTTGTTGCTACCCAAATCAAGCAACTGCAGATTCTTGCAAGATGAATTAGGCAATGCGGGTTCTGAAACAGACCCAGATAGTGAATTACCATGTAATCTAAGGGAAACAAGCCTCTCACACAAGTTCCAAATGGATGGGGGAAGAACCCCACTTAACATATTATCACCCAGATCAATGTCAGAGAGAGAGGTGCTATAACCAAGTTCAAGAGGAATGGTTCCTTTCAATGAATTGATGTTAAGATAAAGACTTTGAAGCATAGGGAACTCCCCAAGCTCTCTGGGGAGTGAACCAGAGAGATTAGCAGAAGGAAGCTGCAGAGAAAGAAGGTGCAGAGAAGGGTCTTTGTAGAGTGAAAGATTAGTCCATTGAGGTGAAGACAAGTCGGTGCATGAGAGAGGAGTGGCATTGGAGAACACCCATTTGAGACCTCTCCACTGACAAAGTGGTGTTGAGGAGTTCCATGAAGACAAAACTAGGTTGTCAGTGTTACCTTGCAGTGAAGCTCTTATTTTTCCCAAGAGAAGTTCAACATCAGAGGAAGTGGATGCAGAAGTAGACAGTGACTTTGTGGAGGTACTAAAGAAGAAGAAGAAGAAGAAGAAGGACATGGAAATGTAGAGAGAGAAAAGCTTGAGAAACTCCATGAACTAGCAAAGCACAAAGCGTGAGAGAAAGAGAGAGATTGTTGTGTGAGAAATTCAAAGAAAGAGGCTCTCTTTTCTGGGAAAGCTGACACAGTGTTGACTGAGAGTGTAAGCAGTAAGGTCTCAGTGACTCTCACACAACGAAAATTCAATTCAATGGTTATGATTCGATTCTCCACATCACTCATGCACTCTCATCTTATTATTGCAACAAATCATGCACCGCTCACTCTTTATATCAATATAGATTTATTTATTTATTTCTATTTCAGTTTTGTTACTTAACCTGTGTCACGTTAATGAGTTGGGCACGTTATTATTGTCTTTTAAATACCGGTAATCATTATGTTAAAAGTTTAATTTAGGAGCTAAGTGAAGGATTAACACAGTTTCTTGGATTACACACAGAGATCTAAAATTAAATATATTCATTGCAGGTGAAAGGTATTTAAATCGCATTATTGACTATAATATTTAAAATTTTATTAAGAATTGAGTTTAAATATTTAAAAGAAATATTAGTTTTAAATGTTAACTGTTGTATCATTAATGAAATAGTTTTTATATATAAAAAGTCTATATCAATTTTTTTTTTATTATCGATTTCATGATTAATAAAATTTATTTAGTGTTATAATATGTTAGTATTTAATTTGAAAATTTTGCATTAAATAGGTACAAATATTTTTATTTTAACATTTTTTAGCTTTTTTTTAGTTAAGAGTATGTTGAGTACGTAATTTTCGTTGATTTATAGTTTAATTAATTGATTAAGTTATAAATTTGTTTGACTAAAACGTAAATATTTGATAAACAATTTCATTTAATTAACGTGTAATATTTTTATATACGATTTACACCTAGTGTACGAGCTTATAACTTATAAAACTATTTTAATAAAATTCTCATTTATTGATTATTTTAACTATTCTATTATTTATTATATATATTTTTTAAACTATTTGATTTTTTGAACAAAACTTATGAGTTTAAGGTTAACTAAAAAATTATTATAAATATAATTACATTAAAATTAAAAAATACGGAAACATATTTTTTAATATTATTTTATATTTATGAACTAATTTAATAAATAAAATAATTTAATTTTTTATTAATTTAAAAAAATTTTAAGTTAAGTTTTTATTAATTTTTATTTCTATTTAATAATAGTTAAATTAGTGAATCCCGAACTAATATCTTTTCGATTTGATCATCGATTCAATTTTCGAAACATTGTTTTAATTAAAAATTATTTTATTTACTTATAATTAAGTTATTAATCAATTTTTATCAAATATAGCTCGTAGAGAGTTTAAAGTATAAAATAAATTGCAATTGTGTATATAATTTTTCTTTATGTGAAGATATCTAACGAGAAATTGTGAGACTAGAGCTGTTTGAAATTGACTAAAGTTTACATAGAAAATGACTTTATTTAATTACTTTAATATTTATTTAAATAATATTTTATTTGTTATAAATATTATTATTTTATAATTACTTTCTATAAAAATATTATTAATATTTAGTCTCTAATATTTTAAAAAAGTAAAAAACTAAAAATTGAATCTCTATAAAAAATTAAATATTAACAAAATTTTAAACAATAAAAAAATTTTTTTATTATAAAATATTAAAAATTTTATAAATATTTTTTACAAGGAAAAATACTAATATTTGGATAATGCAGAAGCTAAAATAGAATGTTTAACGAATCTATGGTGGAGGATTTTAAAATTCTAAAAAATGATGTTTGAGACAATAAGAATATTCAATGATTTTCCTCTTTTGCTTTTCCAAGTTCTGTGTTATTATTTATTTGTTTCTGCACGCTTACTTTTGTAAAATGGCCTACAAGTTTAATATTGCACTTTGCACTCTTTGAGGAACAAGGGTAGGGTTTTCTATGCAAGAAGGTAAATATTGCGTACCAGCAATCGCATCTGGTGCTTTCAGACCTATGCTTTATCACCGTACACGTGTCGATTTTGGAGTTTAATTGAACATGATCTGCTCTTGAATGATACGATGACTTGGGGGTCTATTGAAGACCATGAAGACGATGTCCCGCTTGGGGCACAATGGGATCCCATGCTAGAAAAGAAAGAAGAGATAATGATAGTGAAGATTGAAGAGAAGGAAAAGAAAACAAGAAAAGGTGAATCAATGTCTCATTGCAAAAATACGATCACAGAATAAAGAGTGCATCAGGGTACGATAACTCTATTGATTAAATATTTGCAATTTAATGTCACAATTTTAACTGAAAATTTGGACCTGTGCTACTCGTAGTAAAATATATATATAATAAAATTTTCTCATATTAATAAAAATTTAAAAATTTTTACTTTAACTCTTTCATTTAACTTACATCTTACGATTATATAGCATTTTTTTTATTAGTATAAATTTAAAAAAATTTATACTTAATATAATTCTTTTATTTAAGTTACATCTATAAAATAAGCCTTGCTCCTATCACTTCCAAGTAAAAGTTAAAATGTTTTATTAATGAGTCAATATTTTGCAGGATAAACAAGTAATTGAATAGTATAAATATTTAAATTTGACATATAATACCAATATATAGAAGAAGAACGCAGGTGGAATTTCGACTTCCTTGGTTTCTGCCATAGTACTTAGTCGTGAATCTCTATTGTTATCGTTCAGATTGTCTCCTTCATATATACCACAGTGACGATTTAACATGCATTCACAATAGAATGACTCAAATAATGAAATTGGCTAGTGAGTTGTTCTCCATTCCCTATCTGAAGTGGGATATTTTGGAGAATTTATCAACAACTACCATATTTGAATCTTTTCCTCTTGATGTTCTTAGCTGTCCAAACATAAAATCCATACTTACATCAACTCATGGTTGTATTGGTACAGGCAATGACATATATAAATCATGTGCAGCTTTCTCGCATGCAACACATCTCTCAATGATACCATGAATGTTTTAAATTAAATAATGAAGAAAAATCACACATTGCCAAGAGTAGTGGTAGGCCATGTTGCAAATCGCAGTTCTATTGGAATCTAAGATTACATACAAAAATATTGTAATGAAATTACAGAGGAATCAAGTTGAATTTTTAAATATAGGTTTGATTTTAGGAAAAAAAAAACAATACTCAAAGTTATCTTATTTATTTGAATGAGTTAAATTTAAAACTTATCTTTAATTTATTAGTATCTATTTGTATATGGTTAGAATCGATTTTGATAAAAGCAGAAATTTGTTGGTACCCCTCAGTGTACTTAGGATATGTTTTCCCAGAATATTTTAATCATCCACGTTGTCTCATATTTTGTATCATTATTGTCCATATTATAACCAAATGTGAGTCTTAAAAGTATGAATCTTTAACTTATCTAAGTTAACTTATTTATAAATTAATATTTTTCTTTATATTTATCAAATCTCTTCTTGATGACTTTTTAATTTTAATATATCAGTAATGCTATAAATTAAAATGATATAAAGAGCATGGCAGTTCAACAATATCATAAAGGTTAGACAATGATAATTTTTCAGATGATATCAAATTTTAAATAATGAAAATATATAAATTATTAAATTTGAATTTAGACTATTTAGTTGTTTGGTAAAATAAATAAATCTGATTAACATTAACAACCTTAAATATTTTATTCAATTTTATACACTCTTAAAAATTCAAGTTTATAAATTGAAAAGAATAATATATTTGAAGTGGAGATCTGTTCAAATGAGAAATCATTGTGGAGTCGAAATTATAAGCAAACATCTACGCATTTTATGCGCTTTTGAAGAACTCAAACCAGACAAACAAATAATTTATACTAAGCAAAATCTGCCGGCTGTATTTGTTTGTATATTTTACTATTGAGAAAATTCTGATTCTATAAGCTTCTATATAGACATGCAAACACTGTGTGTGTATATAAGGGATTGTAATTAGTACTTTTAATATCAAAACATTACGAAATAATGTACTGCCATTATTGCCTAATCGGTAGCTTAATTAGTTTCTATCCTTTTACTTTTACTTAATGTATTAAATATATTTTAGAGCAGCAATAATTGGAATTACTTACCTAAGTTCGAAGTAAGTGTTCTCACAGAGAGATAGAAAAGAAGTTAAAATAGATTTACTTTGAAAATGTATAAATTTGATTATAATTATAAATATCGAGTAACTTTTAGCTTTCTAATCTTTTTTAGTGTCGTCCCTAATTTGATAAAATATATATTTTAATCTTTAAGTTGTTGAAAAATCTATCACATCAATTTTTGTTGTTAATAAACGTGAATAATATTTAATAAAAATATTCACGTGTTAAATACCAACTTAACATATTAACTATCACTTGGACCAATATTGGAGATTCAATAATGAACATTAATAATTATTATCTTAAGACTAAAAAAAGTAAATTAAAATGACGATTTACTGCCATTATATCTTATTCATTATATAAGTTATATATAGTAGTAATTGTTGCTAAGATTTGCAAGCCGAGGACCCGTATTATTCCATTTAAACGTATAGCCATGTAAAGTAAAAAATTGACAGAAGACAATTAAACAAAATCATGTTTTTGGAAAGGTGTAGTTGTTATGACATCCATTATTTTGAAACGAAGACTAATCTTTTGACATTTTTACATAGGCATTTAATTTTATAATCCAATTGCACGTCACTTTGCAATCATAACTGACAGTGCATGATCGAATGTTACCTTTAGTCAATAACAATGCCTTGGCGGTAAATAGTTGCAATTTGAATCAAAATATGAGCAAAATTCATTGAGAAATCTTGCAACTCATGATGTTATTTCTCTTTTCCATCATTCGTATTAATCTACTTTTTGAAAAGCCTTGGTAACATAGAACCTTTTATAAGCACCTACAAGGACCTAAAGCGGAGGCAAGTGGACATAAGCAAAATTGAGTGGTTTATTTCATGCAAAAATAATCAGCAATGACATATCTAACCGATTATTTT